TTTTTTTTTTGGGGGGGGGGGAAAAAAAACGGAAGGGGAAAGGTGTGTTTTGTGGGGGGGGGTTTTTTGGGGGGGGGGGGGGGCAGGGGGAGTTGATTTTGTTGGGGCTTTGGGTGTAAGTCACATTTTTTCTGTCATTTCAGTTTCACAGATCTTATTTGCCACAGAAGCAGTATATTATGTTAGAGATGGCTGGAGGGAGAATATTTGAATCTGGATTTTGAGCACTTCAAAATGTGGGGATGTTTTAGCCCAAAACTGTAGTTCTGCTTGCTACAGAGAGAATTACAGGATAGCAAAATAAAATCAGGATATCAAAATTTAGGTTGTTAAACCCTTATGTTTTGCGGGGTGCGCCTGTATATATGGCTCTAGGTTGGATCCATCTTTTATAATTTATACTAAATATGGAGAAACAGTAAATACAGAGATTACTTTGTGTCTTTTAACAGTGAGCGTTTCTATTATGGATGATAGTTGATATATGAGATTTCAAAAAACTGGATTTTTTTTTAACAGAACCTTAGATATATTAGGATTTTCTCTCTAAACTGCTTTGTTAAAGGTGAAGTACAAAGTTTGAATGTATCTTGAGAAATGTCTTAAAATTTGTGTTGAACCATCAGTAATTGAGATGTCGTGTAGGACATTATTTTAAAGCTTAATGGCTTGCTGAATAAAATTCCCACCCTGTTAATTTTTAAGTTGTTTAAGATTTTTAACAATGATAATATAAACATTATATTTTCTGGGGAAAATGTTGTTTATATACTTATGCCGTGCTGGCACCTGCTTATGCTGCTCTAGTTGAGGATCCTTGAGTATTTTTCTTACAAGGGTCTCAACAGCATATTAATGAGTTTCAAAACAGGCAATTTTTGTTTTTTCTAAGTTAGCAGAAGGTGAAAATAAAGCTCTTCCTAATTTCTGAAAGTATTTTGTGTTCCTTGTTTCTTTATTTTGCTGGGATGATGAAATTCTGCAGACATTTTTCCCTTTTAATGAACACGAGTATATTAAAGCATTGGTGTTTATAATGAAGATGACTTCTAATGGGTGAAATGATCTTTAATTATGTGCATTTGACTGCAATTTAGTATTTAATAATTTGTAGATTAAAACATTATTAATTCATCTTCTTGTTACTTTGTCAGTTATGGTAAAGTATTACTGTATCTAATAAGACGTGAATAGCTTCCTTTTTCAACTACTACATCAGTTAAATGGCATATCTCCCCAGAAACCAACTTAGGAGTCTTTTGTAAACTTTAGCCCTGACTTAAAACTGAAGAAATCATTCAGTGATATTTGGATCTGAACCAGGAACAGGCTAACAAAAAAATATCAGTGATCTGATCCAGCAAAAGGTGCCTATGAGCATGAAGGCCATATCGGTTATGGGAGGCTGATGATGCCAAAAAAGTCTATCCTATCCTATTCTTACTGATCCCCAGAAAACATTTAACTTCCTATCCCACCCAATAAAGCGACTGTTCGAGTTCTCTTCTCACTAACCAACTTCACTATATTACAGTAAAGAACTTAAGTTAGCCACATAGGGTGCATCTAGATAAGCATGCACGTGCAGTTTGTGGTGTTGTAGACCTGTCTGTAGTGCTGCAAACTACACGTACCGGACATGCAGGCATTTGCCACGTTGCCCACCAATGGATTTTGTCCAGCCTGTGGCAGGTTCCTCAGTCCTGCCCAGCCCAGGCAGAAGGGGCATTGTGGGCCATGGTATGTGTGACTGGTCTTGCCATTCCCAGGCATCCAGTGAGGTTGGGGTGGTCTGATGGTGGAACCCACTTCCTGGCAGCCCCTGCAGTGGTGGCTTCTTTCAGCTGCCACCATGCCAGCCCCAGCCCTGCTCCCCAGGCACCCTGACCTGTCTGCCCTGCACCCACCGCTGGTGAGGGACCTGCATGGGCAGGGCATGGGGCTAGGCAGATGAGTTTGGGCCATGGGCGGGTGAGGAGCAGTATCCAGGAGCGGTACGGGTGGGTGGGGCTAGGATCATAGAGCAGAGACAGTCCAGGGCTGGGGCCTGAGGCAGAGCCATGATCCACTGAGGCAGAGCGCATGTCCCTACGATAGGCACTGGTTCCATGGGCAGGGGCATGTGGGAACCAGATTGCAGCTCTGCCCTAGGTCCTGGCCCGGTACTGTCACTGTCTTGTGATCCTGGGATCTCTGTCCAGGAACTGTGCAAACAGGGCATGCAGCCAGATGGACAGGATGGGGTTGCATGCAGGCAGAGCGCTGCATCTGGGAGCAGGATGTGTGGGCGGGGCCAGGATCACAGGCCGGGATCTTAGGATGGTGACAGCGTAGTGCCGGGGCCCAGGGCACAGGTGTGATCTGCTTCCTACACTCCCCTGCCTGCAGAACCAGTGCACATTGCAGCAATATGCAGGCAGTAGATGGTGGCTCTGGCCCCACACTGTCACTGCCCCGTGATCCTGGCTTTGCCCGCTGTGACCATAGCCCGGCCACCTGGTCCAGTCCAGAACAGATCCACTTACAGGGAGTTTTGGTGAGCTGTTGAGAATGGTGGGGGTGCTAACTTAGCATGGCAGGAAGTTGGGTGAGTACTCCACATCTGGAGCACTGTGTCCAGTTTAGGGCTCCTCCTTATAGAAAGGATGTGGACAAGTTAGAGAGAGTCTACCGGCGAGCAATGAAAATGGTTCGGGGGCTGGGACACATGACTTATGATAAGAGGCTGAGGGAACTGGGCTTATTTAGTCTGCAGAGGAGAAGACTGAAGGCGGGGTTTGATAGCAGCCTTTAACTACCTGAAGGGTGGTTCCAAGGAGGTTGGAGCTAGACTGTTTTCAGTGGTGACAGATGACAGAACAAGGAGTAATGGTCTAAAGTTGCAGCAAGGGAGGTTCAAGTTTGCTGTTAGGAAAAACTTTCTGACTAGGAGGGTGGTGAAGCATTGAAACAGATTACCTAGAGAAGTGGTAGAATCTCCATCCTTGGAGGCTAGGATGATTTAGCTGGGGATGGTCCTGCTTCGAGCAGGAGGTTGGACTGGATGACCTCCTGATGTGCCTCTCACCTTTAAATTTCTGTGGTGTGGGCATGGTGCTGACCTGGCCTGTGACAGCTCACCAAATCTCCCTAAATGGCCCTCCAGCCCAAATAATTGCCTATCCCTGATCTAGGGAAACCCATAGTAATGTGCAATGGAGCCTTGAGATTGCTAGTAGTAGCATTTTGACAAATGCCTATGGCAGAATCTGTCTCCTAAATTGCTTCTAATTCAGTGGTCCCTGATTGACTGGTTGATCAAGGAACCTCTTTTGGTTGATTCTGGGCTGGGGTGGAGCCTGGGCGTGTGTGCGCATGCATTCCCTGCCCTGTGCCCCCTCCCACCACCAAGCCCAGCAGGTCAGTCTGTCGGGGAGGGAAGGGATGGGGGCCAGATCAAGGCACCTGTGGTGAGGGGCAGACTGAGTGCAGGACACAGGAGCAGGGGAAGATGAGTGAGGCCCCAGCCTGGCTGGGTGGTAGGAGGATTGTAGCCCAGGGGGCTCATCAGTGCATGGGGGGGTGGGGCTCTTGCCTCTGGGTGCACTCCAGTGAAGGCCCTGGCGGCCTGTGCCTCCACCCCATCTCTGTGCGGGGCGGAGGTAGCACAGGTGCCTGCATCAGCAGTGAGGGAGGGAGTGGGGTTGGAGCAGGTGCAGGCCCTGCAGAGCCGGGGCCGGGTGTGGGATGGAGCTGTGAGCGGCTCATCTGGGTGGTGTAGGGAGGGGGGACGCACCCTGGCAGGGCATGGGGCGCATGTGCCCCTGGATCTACATGTGGAGCGGAGCGGGCCGGGGCAGGCCTGGGCTGTGCTGGGCTCTTCCTGGTGTGGGTACTGGGCTATGCTGTGCTCGGGCTGGGTGGTGGCACTGGGAACGAGGCTATGCGTGGCGGGGGGGGTGGTTCAGCCACCCAAAAATTTGCATAACCCCCTAAGCCATCCTCCCAGCGCCCCTTGCCACCATGGGATGACAGGCTGGGAGGCTGTGCTGGGCTCTTCCCAATGGTGGGGGGCTGGGCTATGTTGTGCTTAGGACAGGCAGCAGCACCACTGGGAGAGGGGCTACCCAGTCCCCCAGGACCCTTCCCCCTCCCTCTGCCCCTACCTGCTGAGGAATGCACCCCCAAGTAATTTTTTCTTCCTCCACTTTGATCTGCCTTCACTTTCCCTCCACACAGACGTACCTGCTGGGCAGGGGTGGGGGGGTGGGGTGCATGGTAGATCTTGGGTTGCTTTTAAATTCCAAAAGTGATCTGCTTAAAAAGGTTGGAGACTTCTAATTCATGTATCAGAAAGCATCATGATAGCTGCCTTTAAACCCTAGTTCAATTTTTCTCACAACTTTTTCCTTTAGTTTTTTATCTCTTGTTCTTTATTTAGAAACATTCTAATAGGGAATTTATTTCTCGAATTCTTATTATAGAATAATGGTAAGCTCCTTCCCAGCTCTTTCCCAAAGTCAGCTTGTAGTATCTAGATCAGCTGCGGTGCCAGGAGATTCTTTTAAAGGTGGCTCAGGTTTCTGCACAACATTGGCACTGTGAGGTGTGCAGACACCTACACATGATTCTGAAGGTTAATCTAGAGATTTCAAATAGGACTCCATTGCACAAAAACATTCTGACCCTATTCTCAGTTCTTTGCAACAGAAAAATTGCTCTATTATTTTTCTGTAGTCAAAAAATGAGTGAAAGCTAAGAGCTGGCATTTTCTGAGGAGTGCATTGAGTCTAACAGGGTTGAGAACTACTGCTCAAGATTAAAATTCTAAAAGCTACTATACTGTTTTAAAACTGTTCTTGACTTCATCCTGTGCTCAGTTTTCTGAGAGCTAGTGCCACAGTTACTAGAATTGACTTTCACATATGAACAAGACATTGTTTCTGGAGAATCAAGCTGTCTGACCATGGGATCATCAGCTGACTAGCATCAGAACAAGGAACTGCTTTTAGGAACATTTTGAAATCATTATATTGTGAAAGTTATGGAAAGAAGTCACATGGTCCTAACCTTTGATCTGTTGGTTAGGTAGGTGCAACCCCATGGACCAAATTGAGTCCCACAGTCTATAACTTAAGCTACAGTCTACAACTTAAGCTACAGTCTTTGTATGGGTAGCCCCCGATCTGTGTGAAGAGAGTTGACCTCTGTATAGAAGTGAGGGTCTAGCCCAGGGGTGGGCAATTATTTTGGCTGGAGGGCTGATAAATGAGTTTTGGTGAGCTGTTGAGGCTGCCAGGTAGCCCCACCCCATGACAGGTGCCCCACTGCCTGGTTATCGTCTTGAGACTGGAAGTCCTACCCCTAATCTTTGACCTTTGCCACCAGAACTCCCTCCCATTGCCCCCAGAAGTACTTCTTTTGGGAGTGGGGGAGGGTTGCTATCTTAGAACTGGAAAAAAAAAATCAAATGATAAAAATCGAACATCTACTGTAACACAATTTAATTTTACTTCAAAAATAATTTTGTCCTGATTTACATGCGTTTGCTTAGTGTACATAGAGATGACTGCATAATAGCTGAAAAATTAAGTCTTGCACTTGTATATTGTGTGTAGGTGTGATTGGGTGGGGTGCGTGGGTGGCCATGGGTTTTATTAGGGGTTTAGGGGTAGGTGTGGGTGTGGGGTTTGTGGAGGGGTGTGGCTGTGTGTTTGAGGGGAGGGAGAGTGTGAGTAGGGGTATGTGGGAAGGGTGGAATTATGGGTGGCTGATTGTGGAGCCCATGGTGGGATTGAGACCCTTTTATATGTTGGCTTCTTCGTGTAGTAGTTTTTTTGAACATATAAAGGAAGGAGATTTTGATCAGGAAAAAGATTTTTTTTATATTAAATTTGCCTCTGTTAACCCAATTGGGCTGATTTTTTTTTTCCATTCTAAATGCTTAATTTTTCTGTTATGATGATCAATATTAGAATAAGCTGAATTTTAACTCATTGATATTTAGGACTTCTATAGATATCTCACTCTTACAGATATTGTAGGATAAGGCAACCAGTTACTATAGTAATACTGTTTTCAGTGGTGATGACATCTGGTACAATGAAGTACAAAAAATTAATTAAATAACCTATTCTAGACTTCTGAAGTCTACTGCTTTTAAACTATAAATAATAAGCTAGACCATCAAATTAAAAGTCAGTATTTATTGCTGAAGAGTTTTTGATAGTTTTTTCTCTTCCATTTAAATGCGTTTTTATGCTTGAATTAGATTTTTTTTTTTTTAACTTTTGTGGAACAGCTGTAAAGGTGAGGGGTGGATAAGTTTAAGTTTGTCTTTCTCAGATGCTTCTATGCTGGGGCATCCATGGAAGGCCAGCCTGAACCCAGAACGAAACCTGCATGATGCACAAACATAAAAAGGGGAAGTTAAAAGGTAAAATGATTGAGCCAACTGCAGAGCGAGAACATGTTGGACCTTGTTTCATCCTTGAGGCTAGGGACAGACATTACACATAAACTGGTTTAAGTGATCAGAAACTGGTTTAAACCTGTAACGGAACAGATGTTCAGTGCACATAAACCAGTTTGAACATGGTTGAACGTAGTATCATACTTAACTGATTTGGGACAAACCGGTTTATGCAGTGTATGTCCCAGACCCCTTCCTGGTTTACATTAAATCAGAGTCCTCCAGCACTCCAGATGCTTTGCAACTCTGGGCGGGGCTCTGCTCTCTGCTCCAGCTCAGCAGGGCTGGCCCCTCCCCTCTGCTCCCTGGCTGCAGCTCTGATAGAGACTGCAGGTACAGTGGGGTCTGCCTGGCTTCCCCTTGCCCCCCCCCACTCCCTGCTCAAGCAGGGATTCTCCCCTCTCTTCTGCCTTACACAGACACATCTCAGCATTAGCTAGCATACCACATGCTGGCTATGGTCTGTGATGTGGGAGACAGGACAAAGACAGGACAGTGTCAGCTTAGGGCTTTTGGGGGCTAATCAATAGGTAGCTGGTAGGGTTGTGCAAAACTTTGGCAGCTGTTTCATATCAGAAGTGTTTCAGCCCATTTTGGCGGCCGAATTATTGAATCCGAATTGAAACAAAAGGCTCAATCTCCGAAATTAAATGAAATGAAAACATCCAAAACATTTTGGAAATGTTTCGTAATGTTTCGGAGGCGGGCTTGCAGGGAAACAGAAACTAAAAGGGAGGGGGAAGGACTACTCTGATATTGACATCTGTAGCTGGCCAGTGACTATGATCTTTCCCTGAGTTCCCTCCCAATGACAGTGCTCTGGGGGAGGGACAGAGAAACAACATATAAGGCTCTGTGTAAAGCTCTCTCTCTGCCTTTTCTGTCAGCTGTCTCTCTCTTGCAGCACAAGCAGCAGAGCTCACGGTGTCTGAAAGGTCTAGGCTTGCTTGGTAGCAGTAGGTAATGGTAGTTTCTTGTTACCAAGTTGTAGCGAATCCTTTTCCACTTACCCTTGCCTCCCATCCCTATTGTTATCCCTTTCAACAATTCTTCCCCTCATATCCTCTTATTTGTTCTGCTTCTCCCCTGCCCCGCAAACAAAAAGAAAGCTGTTTGTGCTTTCCCTGGCAGTGTGCCATCCATCACTGTGCAGGAAAGCACATCACAAATTATACACACATTTTCCAGCACACCAAACATGAAGTGTGCTGGAAAGACAAGTTCCAAGTCTTCTGGCAGGGGAGCGAGGGGGGGCAGGGGAAGAGCTGTAAATTCCCCTCTTTCCCAAACTTAGATGCTCCCTTTTTTCTATCAGGCATGAAGATTCTGCTGCTAGTGGCAGCAAGGAGGGGGGAGCAGCGTCTGCACTTGCACCACCTCCACTAACACCACAAATAGCCATCAGCATGACAGTGTCCTCCATCCCAATTTCGCCTCCCAGTGCCAGGGGAGGAGCTGGATCTGGAAGCAGGGGAGCTCAGTGACATAGGTAGGGAAATTCTGGGGAAGGAGGGGGAATCTAAGTTTGTGCTGCACACCCCTCAAAGTTCCCCTAGAGCCAGATCTCCTTCTCTGGAAGGCAGTTCGGAGAAGGTAGAGGTTGTGGAGACATGTGGCTCAGCGGACTCGGCTCCTCCTATTGTTGTGCCTCTGTCTGCTGAGGAGAGGGATAAGGCAGAATCACCACTCGCACCCCAGAAGTGAGGGAGGAGTGTTGTGTGGGATTATTTTGAGGTGGCAGATGATCCCAGGTATGCTATTTGCCAGCACTGCCAAAGCAACACCAGCTAGGGCAACGAGGCAAAACTCTTCAGCACCATGGGGATGCTGATGCATCTCAAGAGGCACTATGCCCTTGCCCTTGCTCCTTCTCTGCCTGGCACCAATGGAAGCGTGCCCAAAGAGAAGTCCCCCTTTCGCTTCAAAGCCCCTGTGCCCCAGAAGCAGAGACAGGCCACCCTGGACCAGTGGAGGAAAGGCGGATATAAAGAGAGGTGTGTTCCAAAGGTGAGTGAGGTCACCCAGAGCATTGGGGGGTTGCTTGCTCTGGATGGCCAGCCCTTCTCCTTAGTTGAGCAGCCAGGGTTCAGGCGGCTCATGGTGCTCATGGCCCCATCATACTGCGTGCCTGCAAGTAACACCTGCAGCAGGATGGTGGTTCCCTCCCTGTATGAGGCATGCAGGGAGTACTTGAGGGAGGAGTTGTGCAAGGCAGGTCTACAGGTGGCCTTGCATTTCACCTCAGACATCTGGAGCCGCCAGGGTAGAGATCATGCCTACTTCTCCCTCATGAGGCACTGGTGCGATCAGTCAGGCTGTCAGTGGGCTCTCCTTCAAGCTGAGATGTCTCACCTCCTGATGCCTCAATTTACATTTTCACTGACTGGCTTTCTTTCCTGCATGCCAGCTTCTGGCTTCTTTACTATTCCTTCCATTCAGGAAGAACACACACACCAACTGCACATGCTTCCACAGCCTGAGGGAAGGGGTTTTAAATCCAAAAGCTTGTAAAGAACAACTTTTCCAACATTTAGTTGGTCTAATAAGGGATGTCACATTTACCCAAAGAACCTTGTCTGCCTATATCCTTACAGCAATGTGGCTACAACCTACACCCCCCCCTTAACACACACAAATGTCATTAGTTTTGCTTTGAACAGTCTGAGGTGCAGTTTCACAGAAACCCCTGTACCTATCTCCTTGAAACTTTGCAGGCATCATGAGATCAGAAGGGGATACCATCCCTGCTGTTTTCAGCTGAATCAACCAAAAAATGACAAAGTTATAGATATTTTAGTGATTCCCCATTATAGTCTATGGCTGAATCTCCGAATCAGTGTTGAAATTCTGAAACAGATTCGGCTGAATTGAATCAGGACAGTGATCCAAAACACCAAATTGAATCACTGTCCCTCTGAAATGACCGAATCCAAATCAGAACAGAGCCATTTTGCACAGCCCTAGTAGCTGGTAATGTCCCTCCATTCCTTCCTTGGAAAAAGTTGTTTAAGAGCTTGAACTAATGAGAGACCCTTTTGTTTTGCTGATGGGCTGATGCATTCTGTGCAACTCAGTGCTCTGTTATCAATGGCAGGATACCTGTCCCTAATCAGAGCTTCCTGCCAGGGCCTGGCCATGCTCCAAGCTCGGCTCAGCCATGTGAACGGGATGAAGGGCTGCTCTAGTACGCCCCGGCTTCTAGCCTGAATCACTGCAGGCATGTGCCTGCATTTCTTCAGTCCAGAGGAGATGTCTGTATGGTAGTGGTCACCAGCTGGTTGATTGTGATCAGCTGGTGGATCCCAGAGCCTCTTCAGGTCAATTTGAGGCTGGGGGGGGCAGGGCGGGCTAAGTGCATGAGTGTATGGGCCAGATCAAGGCCCCTGTGGTGAGGGACAGAGTGTGGCAGAGGCAGGAGCACAGGTAAGGTGAAAGGGGCCCCAGACAAGTGGGTGGTGGGCGGCTTGTCCATGGGCACAGGCAGCTTCCGTTGGTGTGCGCACCCTGCCAGCGGCCCTGTAAGGTTCATGCCACCCCATCTGTGCTTGGCGAAGGTGGCTGCCATTGCGGACTGGACTTTGCACCCTGAGCCCCATTGCAGCTGGCACGGGAGTGGCCTGATACCATGTGCACCTGCTGCCAAGTGGGCAGGGGACAAGGCTCAGCCCAGCAGTGGGACGCATGTGGTGTTGAATTGCTTCTGGGCCAGCTGCAGTGGGGCTCAGGGTGGAAAGCCCAGCCTGCAAGGGCTGCCACCTCCATCAAGCACAGATGGTGGGGCATGTGCCCCCCAAACATGGGGAACTGCGAGTGGCTGCAGCAGCAGTGAGCTAGTGAGGGAGTGGGGCAGGGGCATGACACAGGATGGAGTTGCAAGTGGTTTGTCCGCAGGGCACAGGGAGGTGGGCAGGTCATGCATCCTGGAAGGGCATGGGGGGGTGTGCCTCTGGATCTGCATGCAGGGTGGGCTGGGGTGGTGTTGGGCTCTTTCTGGCATGGGTGTTGGGTTGCCCTGTGCTTGGGCCAGGTGGTGGTGGTCCTGGGAGTGGGGCTACAGGGGGTGAGCTGCAGCCTCCCTGACCCTCTCCCAGTGCTGCCACTGCCTGCTGCAAGTGCAGTGTGGGCCAAGCCCTGCTGGGAAGAGTCTGGCACAGCCTTCCCCTCCTCTGCCCCTCCCCCCCCCGAGGGTACGGGGGATGGCAGGCTGCCGCTGCTAGCTGGGAGGCTGCACCAGGCTCTTCCTGGCAGAGCTTGGGCTGTGCTGCACTTGAGGTGGGCAGAGGTGGTGTTGGGAGGGGATCAGGGGGTCTATGACAAATTTTCAGGTGTCTGTACTTCCTCTGTAGCTCCATTCCCAGCACCACTGCCGTCTGGCCCGAGTGCAGCATGGCCCAACACCCACACAGAAGAACCCAGCACCTCCCTGGTCCCAGCTTGCCCCACCCCTGTACAGATCCAGGGGCACATGATGCCCATGCCCTCCTGGGCTGTATGCTCCTCTTCCCTGCACCCCCTGGACGAGCCACTCACAGCTCTGTTCCGTGTTGCACCACCACTGTGTAGGGTGGCCCCTGCCCCCTCCCTCACTCACTACCATGGTGTAAGGGCAGACTGAGGCCCCAGCAGTGAGGAAGGGAACAGGGTACAGGCAGGAGCAGGGACTGGGGTGAGTGGGGAACAAGCAGAGGCCTCAGGGGGCACATGCCCCCTGGGTCTCCACTTGTCCCAGGACCCAGCATGGCCAGGGCCCCACTCTCCCCAGTCCCTGCTCCTGCCTGTGCCCTGCTTCCTCCCTCACTGCTGGGGCCTCGATCTGCCCTGCCTCACCCCCGGTCCTTTCCTTTCCCCCCAACCCCTTCTCCCACAGACATACCTGCTGGGGGGAGCACGCTGCCCCCAATTTTTTTCTCTGTCTCGATCTTCCCCTGCTTCCCTCCCCACAGACTTACCTGGGGGTTGCAGGGCATGGTAGATCTTGGGTTGCTTTTTAATTCAAAAAGTGATCTCCTACCCAAAAAGGTTGGAGACCACCGCTGTACGGTTACAAATCAGTGTACCGTGGCCAGGTTATACTAACCTGCAAAGATTGAATCAATTCAGGCTCAGGCTTTTTGCATGCCTGAATGACCAAAGCAGTGAAAGGCATCCACTGAATATGACACTTAAAGTATTGAATGCATAAAACTAGAGTAGTATTTTCAATGGGGCACAGCTGTAGGAGGTATGGATCGGGTTTCTTTGTATTTTAAGCAAAAGTACAACACAGGGCGTGCGTAGACAAAATGAGGACCATGCATGCACAACACTTTAAATGCTTTTGCACCACTTTAATAGTGTTGGTGTTTGCACATGTCGGCGGTGTATTACACATTAATTCCAGCCAATGTAGCACATTCAGTGGTGTAATGCACCTTAAATGACTTTGGGGCACTGCAACCTAAAACACCTCTGAGGAATTTTAGTTTGCTGCCCTACAGCCACGGAGCAAACAGCTTCAATTTAGAGTCCCCGTTTTGTTTACACATGCCTATAGTGACCAGTCAAGTAAGAATTTGGTGTTGCAATACACTTAATCTATTTAACCAAAACTACTCAACCCACTTAAAATAACTACTTTTTTTTCTATGTAGATCCATCTAATACAGTAAAACATGTAAGGAAAAAGTGTGTATATAGTTGCTAAAAAGTGATGCAATAATTATCAATTAATTTTAAAAGGCGTTCCCCCTTTTCTACACAAGATGACACAAGGTTTCATAGTAGTTTCATAGTAGCTAGGGTCAGGAGGGACCTGAACAGGTCATCTAGCCTGACCCCTGAATGAGTCCCTGAAGGTGACAGATTTGGTTTCCAAAACTGCTGCAAAATGAATGGAAAAGGCAGCATTGCAACATTATACTGATATATTAAAATCTGAAAGAAAAATTTGAGTATTTAAATACGCCCCCCCCCAAAAGAAAAACCCCAAACCTTTCACAAACTTGGCAGCCAAGAGGGCCTCTCAGAAGAAATGTGTCTTTATTTTGCAAATCTTCTCAATGGGATCCCTAAGTAGGGAATGAAAACTGTAGACAACAATATTTATTTTTGGCTAGTCCAGATAATCGAATAAAATAGCAACAGGTTCTTTGTGGAATTTTTTGCTTGTGCTTTATGCTGTGGGCTGCCATGGCCAAAGATGCACACAGGAAATGTTTTCCTGTGTTCGGCAGGCTTACAAGGTAGAGATGATGCTAATGCCTACTCTGCTACTTTAATAAAGGCATAAGCTTATACAACTGAAGTCTCATGAGACTTCTGCTCACATGATCACACAGCAGCTCTCTGAGCTTCTACTGGAGACAAAGTTTGAAAGTTGGTTTGAAATTTATCTTGGACAGAAAGTGCAAAGAGCAAAAGACTAGATGTTTGCCTGGTGTTAGTGGGTTTGTGTGTGTGAGACTAACCTTTGGTTAAGGCAGCAGGATATGATTGGATTGTATGTTGTACAACTCATAGCAACCAGAAAGACTACAAGATGTACTTGCTGAATGTACTTTTGCTTATACATGTCTTCCTTGAAGATCCCAAAGATGAAGTACAGGTGATAAGGCAACCAGCAGGCAGCAAAGGTTATCACAACCGTGACCATAGTCCTCACAAACAATAAAAAAACAGTGTTTTAAATACAGTTTTTCCTTCAGAATGATTAAATCATTGCATGTTTTTATCATATGTAATTGACCTTTTTATATATTTATCCATCCTCATATATTGATACCTATGGGAGCTGGGAGTTCAGATGGAGACAAGGCTGTGTAGCAGTAACCTGTATATTTTCCTGCATGAATGATTTTTTGATAGTTGAAGGCAGCATAATCTCTGCAGCCAAATTGGGGAGAAATATTGGTGTATATGGGTGAGACCTTGTTTTCTGGTTGTGGTGCTATATGGTGGGAGAAGAAATGTCTTCCTGGTAGCAGCATAAATAGATCTTATTCCTTGATGCCTTACTTCACTGGATTTCTTCTGTGCAACCTCAAACAAACTAGTAAAGTCTCCATGAGTACAAGCTCTTCTTTTAAAGGCTGGCTGTTTTTCATATTTGTAAGGATGTATATGAAAAACACCACAACCCCGTCTCAAGTGATTCTACGTCAGCCTTTTCTGTAATGTGAATGTGAAATCATACAGCACCTAAAGAGTCTGCATGAATGTGCTTACATTTCACAGCTGGAATCAGAGCAGCTAGCAGGAAGAAAGCAATGATTGTTGGACTTCTAACCTTTTTTTGGAAGTAACTTGATGCTGATAGTAGACTACTAGTGTGGTTTCCAGGGACTGTACTACTCCAAAGAGTAATTTCTATAATGCTGTATGTGAAAAAAACATCAGTTAGGCAGCAAGTAAATCAACACAATCACTGCAATGTGGTACCTGTAAAAGAAAAACAGGGACATTTTCATATTGATTACATCCCTCAAAGAGCTCTTCCTGTCTACCAAGTCTTCCCCTTGGTTGTGTGTGTATGCCTGCCCTTAACTTCAACTCCAGTGCTCCAGAGATCAGAAATTTTTATCTTTAACACATCAACAAAGATTGAAGAAATTTGTAAAAGCTGATCTCTTCCATGTTACAGTGATAATTCCTTTCATTGAATTTTTTGCTTCTTCAGGAAAGTATTGATTTTCTTTTTTAAAGATATTTATATTTTATGTCAGCTTTGTTCCAGGCCTCACTACTATACTAAGGGGTCATGAGAGCATCTGTGACTATAAAATATCAGCCTAAAATCAGGCTAGATGATTACAAAGATAACAGGGGCTGTTCTTTGTTTATGTATTTTATAAATTAATAACAGTCATTTACTGTATTAGTATTGTTCCTTATTTGCAAGCACTAGTACCTAAACCACAATCAGAGTGGATTCATACTGAAAGTGATGGTGCTTCAACTGTGTATCAGTGAGAGCATTTTCTAGCTTCTAATGTTATCCAGTAAGCTTCAGCTAGTGTAAGGAAAATATAAATGTCATACTTGTGTCTGCTTATATTAAGTAACCACTGCCTATGGGGAGGGAACAACCAGCTCACTTATTTACAGTACATGTCATTTTAACATAAACAGTGTAAAACTAGGATTATGCAGGAAGGATTTGGCACATGCTTTTGGCTTCAACCTTGAAAGGCTGTTTATACATCCCTCCTCAGGATGATGACACTGGATGGTTGTTTGCCACATTAGAGAAAGGGGTTATCCATTTCTGAAAAATATGAGGCAGGTTGTTCTTATTTTGCTTATTGTCAGTCCCCACTATTTGTTCTTTTAGCCTAATGCAAGGGAGCCTGAATATTTGCCAGACTTTGCTTTATACTCCCACTCTTGTTTAATTGTCATGTAGACTTGAGCAGAAAATAAATGCCACTTCTGCTTTCCTCCCTGTGCCTGAAGCATTTCTTTCTTAAAAATTAAATACAGACAACTTCATAAATTAAACTTTATGGATATTCAACATTAAATTGAGAGAGTCAGAAAATGTAAACCTACAGGTTTGTACAGCAGTATTGTCAGTCATGTTGTAAATACAGTGTTTGTGAAATGTGGCTGTTACTGTTGCCCTATTTTTAGATATTTAACACTTTCTTTTCAAAGTATGTGATGGATGTTCTCCTTACTGAGGCCTACTTCCACACCCAGATTAACCTTCGAAAGTTTGGCCAGTTTAATTACCTGCATTTGTGATGGGCTAGCTGGCAGTGACTTAGCCCATGGGTTTTGAAAGGGCAAAAGATGATTGGAGGACTTGGGATTCCCTTTCCTCACCAATCAGGCCCCAGAGACTCACCCTCTGTGTCCCCTGATTGGCCCCTTGGGTCATCTGGAGGGGGATAAAAGGGGCAGCGTAGCTGATCAGGGGAGACCAGTGAGGGACCACAAGGAAGGAGATTCAAAGACCTGGCAAGAGCTGGGCCAGTGGGGCGGGAGAAGTTGCCCCAGAAGAGCCTGAAGGAGTGGGACCTGCAGGCAGCAGTTGGACCCTCAGCAGTGCAGCGTGCGGCTGGCAGGAGAGGCTCCCTGCTGGGCTCCAGGATTGCCTACGAGAGGCTGTGGCCAGCAGGAGAGGCTCCCCCAGCTCCAGAAAGGATCTGAGCAGCGACCTGAGAGGTTCCCAGCTGTGCTTCTAGCTCCTCCAGTAAGAGGCCAGGCAGCTCAACATAAGGCCAGGGCTCTGGGAAGGCCAAGGCCCCCAGCAGCTTGGAACAGTACCAGCACTGGTGGTTGTGATAAACAGTGCCTTAAGCGGGGTTCCCTAAGTGATGTACTACTTGCCAGATGTGGAGCCCCACCCTTCAACTCATCTGCCACGACTTGATGTTATTATATAAAGAGGGGGATTCAGTGGAGATCTTCTTCCCGGGGGGGCTCCACTGGGAGAACGGCAGTACTCACAGTTCAGGTGCGATGTTCCTCAGGGCTCCGCCTCTCCTACACCCCGTCCACTCGCCAACTGGATGGGTGTCAGCAAGATGGTAATTCGGTTGTGCTGGCTTGATCACAGCTTGCTTCGAGGAAAACCCCACATCCGAGTGGGCTTTGTTGTTACTTATACGGCTCCCCCTTTTCTAGATACTGGCAAGCTGTATACACGTCAGCTGACGCCTATTCTCAGTGTCTCCGAATAGAGCATTTTGCTCCTCCGCCTACTCTCTCTCTCTCCTTTTTTTCAAAAGAAATAGACCCCTGGGCTGGAGAGGGGTGTGGAGTTGCCTCCTTTCCCCCACTCTCCTACAGGGGGCTCAAACACCTTCCTGATTCTGCTTGCTGGTGCTGCACCGGCTGTGTTGCTCCTCTCCTTTGCAGAAGCCTCAGCATGCCTGGCGTCCTCTACGCCAGCGTGCTCCCTTCTCGCCGCTTCCTCCTCCTGGGTTCCTGTGGGGCTTTTAAATCTTCCCGCAGTGGCCGGAATGGCTGCTGTGATGGGCTCAGCTGTTCCCCACCCAGGAAACAGCTGATTAAACAGTCAGCGAAACTCTTCCTATTTTTTGCTTTAGATTAATTCATATCTTGGTCATAATCCTGGTATTTGAAGTAGCAGTATTTACAGTGGATGCATATTTCTTTTTCTGTGTGTAACAGAGGAGTTAATCTCAACAATTTTCTCAGCTAATTGTCTTAATCATCTTCTGGAGATTACACCTTTCCTTCTAGAAGAGTTTCTGAAATGGGGAGAGCCAATGTTGTTCTAGGACAGGGGTTGGCAATTGTTTTTAGCTGGAGTGCCAAAAACACCCTAACCTCAACCCATGCTTGACTTGGCATGCCAGAAGCAGAGGGCAGAGGAGCTGTGAGGGGCCTGATCCTTGTTGCTGGGGGTGGGGGCACGCATGCCTCTGGGAGGACAGTGCGGGAGAGGCCAAGGTTGTGCTGCTCCAGACCCCTTCCTGGCTGTGTGTCCTGAGGTGTGTGTGCAGGCACCACTGCCACGGAGCTGGTGCCAGGCTCCAGAGCCTGGTGCAGCTGTTTGCAGCCCCCTGGCTTCCTGCCACAGCTGGCCTGGGCTCTGGGAGGTTTGCAGCCTCCCGGCTGCCTGCTGTGAGCAGCCCAGGCTCCATGGCTGGTGACAGCTGCCCAGGGTCTTGGCCAGCTGTGGTGTGCTGAGCAAAATGGCCTTGTGTGCTATGCTTTGGCACGTGCGCTGGGGGTTGCCGACCCATTCTAGGAGGAGTGTATGTGCATGTTAAAGTGTATGAGCATGTATAAACATGTCATAACTGAGAAAGAAATGACTACATTATATACTTGTAGAAAAACAGAATGCAAAATTCTGAATCATTGGGCGGACTCCCTTGCCTATAGAGATAATAGGCTGCAGTCTCATCAGCATATTGGGAAACTTGCTTTGTTCCTTCCAAACTAACTGGGCTGATATGAAATCAGGCTGGTGGATTTATTTGAACAGAGTAGCATATAATATATGTACCTCTTATCTGGATTAATTCTGTGCCCTGAAGGAGATTCTTCTGCATGTGTGTTCTTGCCTGGAATTCAGGAATGCTTTCTTTTGCGTTATAGATGAAACTTAAGTGAAACTTAAGAGTCCGGTAGAAGGACGTAAGGATTTTATGCTACTCATCCCTATTATCTATGTTAATCTAACACATAAAGAGCTTTATGAATTATGAGCTATAGTCTGGAAAATTGCATAGTACCAGTCAAAATGCCATCATGATAGTGAGTACTGTAGAAATGTGCGGCTGTCAAAGAGTTGCAATACTATCATGTTCTAGGAAGAGCAGTGTGATTGAGTGGATAGAGCACTGAACTGGGATGCTGGGGTTACCAAAATTTTATTCCTGGCTCTTCCAGTGACCTATTGGGTTACCTTGGGCAGGCCACTTCACTTTATTGCACATCAGTTTCCCCTTCTGTCCAATGAAGATGATGATACTTACTTCTGACAAAGCACTTTAAGGTCTGGTCTGCTAGTAAAAATTGCTATATATTAGAGACAGCTATTTATTATTGTAGGGACCTTATGCTTCAGTAAACATTAGCAGTGCATCGATACATTGGTCCGATATTGGATCGGCACCAAGATAAAGTAAATTGAGTGCATCAGAAATTGGCTTTTTTTGCCTGATGCAGCTGATAATTTGGCCAATAAATGCCCCATACATGTGCTGCAGCACAGCACGTAGGCGATGAGGAGCACAGCCTGGCAGTGTGGAGAGCTGCATGCATCTGGTAAGTCTGTTGTGGTGGAAAGGCAGGGGAAGGGAAGATCAAGGCCCCCGTGGTGAGGGAGGGAGTGGGGCTGGGGCAGGTGCTGTCCAACTGGGGCAGAGTGGGGTGTGGAATGGAACCGTGGCTCATCTGGGGGTGTGTGGGGAGGGGGAGGTGACTCCCACCACTGTGCGCAGCCCAGGAGGACATGCGGGGCATGTGCCCCAGGATCTGCGTGGGGGAGGGCAGGCTGCAGCTGGGGCCAGGGCTGTGCTTGTCTTGCAGGGGCTGTGTTGTGCTGGGGTAGGCAGGACTGAGAGGGAAGGTTGGGGGGGCTATGGTGAATTTTGGGGTGGCTGCAGCCACTCCTGTAGCCCTCTCCCAGCACTGCTGCTGCTTACCCAAAGTGCAGTCCAGCCCAGCACCTCCCCACCAGGAAGAGCCCAGCACAGCCCTGGCTGCAGTCCACAGCAGCAGCCCACTCTGCACTGTGCAGATCCAGGGGCACATGCGCCCCCTGCCCTCCATGCCCTCCTGGGCTGCATGCAGCAGCAGGGCCTGCCCCCCCCCCATGTCCCCTGGATGAGCCGTGGCTCCGTCCCATGCCCCGTCCTGGCTGGGCAGCCCCAGCCCCACTTGCTCCCTCACCACAGGGGCCTTGATCTGTCCCCCCCATGCCCTTTCCCTCCCTCTTCCCCTTCCCCTTCCCCTTCCACCACAACAGACTTACCAGCTGCATGCAGCTCTCCATGCTGCCAGCCTGTGTATAGGAATCAGATTGGTATTGGCCAATATGCCTTCTTAAAAATCAGCTATTGGTATCAGCCCCAAAAATTTCTATTGGTGCACCCCTAGTAAACATGACATCGCTGAACAAGAGAGAGCTCACCAGCATTTATATGGAGCTTTTGGACCTATGCACATATTATTTGAGGAAAAACAGTTCTATATTAATTCTACAGACAACCGGCTGTGTGGAGGATATGAAGGGCAAGAAGAGAGGCAGTTGTTCAAACTGAAATGTAGCTCTGCACTCAGTGTAAAAAAGTGAACTCAACATTTTTCTTGTGGTAAATTATCTCCAAAAAGACATTTATAAAATCTGTTACTTTTTTTACAGTTGTTCAATGATTTGATATAAGGAAATTTTACCTTATGAATTAGGAAAAGAACTGCTTGCTGTGACTATTCTTTATATGATAATAATAACTGATCATTGCTGTTTCTTTATAAACTGGAAGAAGTCCTGATTAATTTATTATTAGAGTTTTGATAATCTCAGGAAGATGAGTGTAAGACCCTCCATCTGCCCCTCACCTTCCCACTTTCGTTATGTAGGCCTATAGAATTTTAGGATATTTAAAACACTTTTTTCCCCCATAAATAAGATTATTATTTTTAACTAATAATGCAACATCTACATTTTAAAAGTACCCAAATTCTTCCTGCCTGAAGGAATGAGAGAAACATAGTTCCCTGGAACCAAGATTAACTGTCTATTTAGCAATTTTTATGTTCAGTTTTCTCCTTTCACATGCACAAAACCTGAGCTGCCATTTCCATGTTCTTTGTGTCTCCTTTTTCCTCCCCTGCTGGTGAATTGTTACACAGATTCGCTGGCCAAGGAAGTGAACAGCTTCTTCCTTGGTTGCAATGCTATATTATTTCTAGCTAAAAGGGGCTGCTGAAAATAATAGTCTTCCTTCACTCTTCTTCATGGAATCAATAGTTTCTAATAACTGACAGTTCTGGAATTACACCCACTTTGTGTGAACTTTTTACATAATGCTGCATAGACTTTCTGCTTCTGTTTTACACAGCTGAGGAGTTCTTACATTAGCTGGTGCTTCTGTCCATTATCATTTGGCCAGGCAACAGTACATTTTTTTAGTTGTTCTATTGTTGATCATGATCTCAGCATAAAAACACTATGGGAAAGGCAAGTCCAAAAGCTACCAGCCAGATTATTCCTATGATTACTCTGGTGTTCCCAGAAAGTTCGGGCTTAAGAGGATAAATGATGGCTACATACCTAGGAGAAAAATGAGGTAGCAATTTTGATTACCTGAATATTTTGTTAGAAAATTACAGTGAGGCAATACACCCAATCAAGTATCAATGTAGACCCAAACACACACAGTTCCACTGATCTGGTATACTTTTTAGCCTTTAACTTTTACTGGAAAGAAATTTCAAACATTTTATAGCAGAAGTCACTGTTAGTCTATCTTGACAGAGTGTGTTGCTCTGGTGTGTTGAACTCCATAAGAAATTGTTTCTTTCTCTTAGTGAATACCGTTCTATTCATGAAGAGAGACTGCAATCCTTTCGTATGTGGGAGTGCACTTTGTACAGATTTGCAGTGATGCTACCAACTTCTTGCTATGCATTATAATTGGGTAATTTGGAATGCTTGGACAAATTAAAGCAATGAAAACTTCAAAAGGCTGACATGATAGTTCCAATATGTGCAATAAATGTATACAATCCACCTTATATAAGATAGGCAGCCGAACACATTGCCCTTGAGCTGATGTTAGATCCAGCACAATTGCAAAGCCAGCTCTGTCAACAAGAATGATCTGCTACATCTTTGCAGCTGTCTTCTGCTGAAGGCAGAAAATTACTGAAACTGTTATTTGTTTGGTCTGAATCTCTGTGGCAGGAACTGTGTTCACACTCCCAGGAATAAGCATATATTTATTATTCCCATTAATTTTTTAGTTATATGCTGAATAATTGCATATAATTTGTTTCCCTCTATACCAGGGAAGAATGAACAAAATTAGGGTCTCAACTAAAGCTGTATTCACAATGGCAGGTCATGGTCTTGCACATAATTTACTATGCATCTGAATCGCTGACCTTAGCAGTGGAAACTCCTTTTGCCGTCCTCTTCTGTCTGCAAGCACTCTAGCACATGTGCTTGCAGCATAAATGGTATGCTGTTGATCCTTTTGTCCCACACCTGTTCAGAACAGTTGTGCCTTATCTGCCTTGAGTTACTTGCAAAGGCAATTATCTGTTTTTAAATTTACCATGTAAAATAGATCTGTACTTTAGACAGTGTAAGGTCAGTTATTTATCTCTTGTGTCTTTGTATTTTTATTACAATAATTTCAGAGTGGAAAACTCCAGTTACTTCCTGTTTACTTAGAAAAGGAAGGAAAGACAATGCCTGTCTCTCAGCAAGCCCCATTGAAGAGAATTCTATTCAAGCCTTCATACAATAGACACATAATAAAAAGACTGCATGGACACAAAGCCCCAGAAATTTTCTACCTTTTAACATGTTGGAGCTTTATTTATTCAGAAGCAGTATACAGTTCCTGTAAGTCTTTATATTTTTTTATCTAGACTTTGCTAAAATAAGCTGGGAAGAATCAAGCACTAAAACAGTAAAGCCACCCTTTTTTTTTTGCAGGCATGCCATAAATTAGACCTGCACCCTCCCCAAATGCCACTCCAGTCTCCTTCCCTTGCCCAATCTGCTGCTCTGCTTTCTGCTCCCAACCGTTTGCTCCCTGCCTCATCTGTTCTTCTGTCTTCTTCCTTTCCTGTGCTCCCATGCCCAATTTGCTGCTTTGCTTTTTGCTTCTTTTCTTGTCTGCTGCTATATTGCCTATCCCTTCCCCAATCTACCATGTGCCAAACACACAGGCTACCCATGCCACTTGTGACACCTGTGCTGCAGGCTGCCCATCTCTGTACTAAATTATCTCCAGCCTGTCTGTTTATAGAATCATAGAAAATTAGGATTGGAAAAGATCTAGTCCAACCCCCTGCTCAAAGCATTCCCACTAGATCATCCCAGGCAAGGCTTTGTCCAAGGATAGAGATTCCGAACCTTCTCTGGGTAACCTGTTCCAGTGCTTTACTACTCTCTTCATGAGAGAGTTTTTCCTTACCTCTAACCTAAACTTCCCTTGAATCAACTTGAGACTATTGCTCCTTGTTTTGTCATCTGTTGCCACTGAGAACAGTCTAGCTCTATCCTTTTTGGAACCACCTTCAGGTAGTTGAAGGCTGCTATTAAATCCCCTTGTCGCAGGGCACTGAAGTGCCCTGCTCCTAGAAAGAGGGACAGGTGCTGGTTGCCGGGGCAACCACAGTTTGGTCAGCTGACCAGAAGGGGGCAGGGCCTGGCCTATATAAACAAGCCAGGCTGAGGCCAGAGGCAGTTCTCCTCTGGCAGCTAAGAGAGTCGGAGCTCTGTTGGAGCAAGCTGAGTAGAGAAGCCTGATGGCCTGAACAGCTTCTGTGGGAGGAGACCAGGGGAGGAAGCCCTGGTAGGGATTTGGGATGATAAATTGCCTGATGGCGTAGAGTTTGTTTTAGCCAGGAGGCTTAGCTTTGAGTTGGAGCAGATTGGCTCATGTTTTGGCATTCTGTTGTTTTTTGTTAAACCGGAGGACCGGGTGAGGCTATAAGGGGTTGGAGGAGGCCTCATAGGAGCTCCCCAGTAGTGTGGGGTTCCTGGTGCCAGAGGGGGCACCACATCTAGGGGTGCAGTGACCCCAGCCCTGAGAAGGGGCACAGTGCATTGGGGGCCAGGTAAGGCCGAGGCTGCCTGAGCCCCATAGGAGGCGCAGGACCCGAGAAGGGGGTTTGGGGGCCAGGCACGGCTATGGCCACCTGAGCTTTGATTGTGGGAAGCCCCAGTGGGGCGCAGGATCTGAGAAGGGGGTCTGGGGGCCAGGCACGGCTATGGCCACCTGAGCTTTGATTGTGGGAAGCCCCAGTGGGGCGCAGGATCTGAGAAGGGGGTCTGGGGGCCAGGCACGGCTATGGCCACCTGAGCTTTGATTGTGGGAAGCCCCAGTGGGGCGCAGGATCTGAGAAGGGGGTCTGGGGGCCAGGCACGGCTATGGCCACCTGAGCTTCGGTTGTGGGAGGCCCCAGTGGGGCGCAGGCAAGGCTAGGCCCCAGTGCGGGCAAGGATCGCGAGGCTAGGCCCCAGTGCGGGCTACGAGGGTGCAGAGCAAGGCCCCAGTGCGGGCATGAACACAGGGAAGGCCCCAGTGCGGGCGAACGTGAGAGAAGCCCCAGTGCAGGTGAAGCCCCAGAGGGGGTGCATAGGCAAAAAGCCCCAGCGAGGGTGCATAAGTGAGCAGCCCCAGTGCGGGCACGCGCCTAGGACTTGGTTGCGAAGTTAAACCCCAGCATGGACAGGGTCGTGAGAGAAGGCCCAGTGGGGCTTGGCTGCGAGAGAGGCCTGGGAGTGTCCGCGGGGAATGCGGGCGACGGTAAGGAAGGAGAGCCCAGAGAGTGTCTGTGAGGACGCAGGCCACCTAAGAGAGTGACTAGACAATGTCCGGGACATCCGCGAGGCTTGGGGCGTGGTATTAGGGGTGGAAGGAGCCATGCATAGCCCTTGAGGCAGGAGTGCACAGAGTCACCGTAGACGGGGCACAGACTGGAGTACGTCAGGGGTACTGTGTCAAGGAGGATAAAAGGCAGCCTCCCTTAATACCCTTATCATCAAAGACGTGGCGGGCGAGAACGAGGGTGCACTGACACCGACTTGACACAGTAGGGGGGCGCTAGGGGAGTTCATGGCTGCTTCTAGGTCCTGGCCCCGTGACACCCCTCTTGGTCTTCTCTTCTGCAGACTAAATAAGCTCGTTCTTTCATCCTCTCCTCAGACGTCATGAGCCCCAGTCCCCTCACCATTTTAGTTGCCATTTGCTTGACTCTCTCTAATTTGTCCAAGTCAGTATTCCATAGCACAGCTCGTGCTGAATCATGGGCTTGAATTTACAGCTGCAAAATGAGCAACTGATCGAGCTGCCAAAATGGAACTGAAATTGCACCCAGTGCTGCAACTACATGGGGTGTTACAGCAGTGCAGAGCCAAGTCCTTAACAGTTAGCAAAGATTGGATCACAAAAAGTGATAAAGCTTTCAGATAAGCACCAACAAGCTTGGTCACATCTCTGATTCATCTGAGACTTCTCTTAATCTTCCCTCCTCCTGTTGCCAACAATCCTGAGTTCATTTTCCCTTTCTATTTCCTCAAACCCTACAGGGTTTTCAGCTCCTCGTACTCCGCTCCCTGTGACTTCTTCCCTATTTTGCCAAGTGCCAAGCACTCCGCAGCTCCTCTCCCCACCAACAGTCAAAGTCAGAAAAATGAATAGGTCCAACTTCATAAAGCAAATATGAACCGTGGTGTGTCTGTGAACTTTCCAGGAGAGTCTGGGAAGTTGTTGTGTTTTTTTTTTTATTTTGAGCTACTAATATACTTCTGTCCAGAGGCCCAAGTGTGGCTTGCCTGCAGTTGCTCAGGTACTGTAATATACAATACTGACAGAAATGTTAGGAGACACTTTTTCCAACAGTAAATAATGTTACGCTCTCTGGGAAAACGGACATAATGGGCTTTTCCAAAGTAATGATTAATAGTACAGTAGGTGACTTTTATATATGCCACTTCTGGTGTGCCACCTCAAGATCAACTATTTTAAATTATAGTGTTTCATCAAAGCTAACCAGCTAAACCAGGACAGACCGTAACTTCTATAACAACTGTAACCCAGGTACACCGAGGGTATGCCCTCCCAGCCAAATGGAGAGGAAGTGGTGACAGACTAGGGTGCTGAGGGAGGGACATCACCACCCTACGTGCAGATCCCTCCATTTCCCTATAGAGACAACCCCAGGAGTGTACACTTCACTATATATAGTTGTATTATTACAAATATAATTAAAATATTTACATGCCAGAAATAATTGAATACCTGATATTACAAAATAATTTTCATAATCTCCAATTCAAGAAATGACCCAATGAATCCAAGAATATTCACCCCAGTGGGTAAAACCCAGTACTTAAAAATATATACACAACTGACCCAAAGACTTCTTCAAGCTCTCAAACCCATCAACATCACAGTTAACAGCACTAAAATAATAATATTATTTATAAAATATAAAGCCCAACATAAACTCAGAACCTCAACCACATAGAAGTCTAATTATGAATTTGTTCCCTAAGCCTGAAGAATAGGGGTCCCCTCACCCACTCCCAACAGGGTCTCGGGACCCACCCACTGGGAGGGGTCTTCTGCACAGCTCTAGTGAGGCCACTCCTTATACCTGCCCAATTTCAGGGTCCCAGAGCTCCAATAACTCACAGTCCTTCTGCTGGACTGGCTTGTCCCAGCGTGATGTTCCCCTCTGGGGTCTCTTCTCCCAGGCTGCCTGTGGACTCCCCTTGTGGCCTGGTGCCCCCCGCCTTGCAATGTCGCCTGCTTCGGTCCTCACAGCCCTCTGCAGATTTGCTTGTGCCGCTCTATGCCCCACTCTGAGCACTGAGGGCTAGCTGCTTCACCCAGCAGGGTTGCTGGGCTCCAAACCACCTGCTTCATACCAGGGTGGTCTTCCCTGTTCTCCGTGCCCTGCTCAGCATGAGGGCTCTTTCAGCTTGCTGGGGCCCTATGTGGGGCTCTGGCCTTCCGGCCTCACGCTGGGTGGCTAACCTGAGCAGCCTTTTGCTGCTCACTGCTCCTGGATCTTACCCAGATCCTGTGCACCGTTGCCAGACACTTGTCTGCAAGCTTGAGCCACCTTGCTGCACTCCTAGGGCTTGGACTTCATGCATCAGACTATGCATCATGACGAGCCCGAGGGTCTTACACCCTCCCAGAGCTGCTCTGTGCAGTGGGTCTCTGCACCATGACAAGCCTGAAGGCCTCACATCCTCCCAGGGCTGCTGTGTGCAGCAGGTCTTTGCACTGTGATGAGCCTGAGAGTCTCACACCCTCCTAGGGATCTTCAGGAGCTCAGGACACTGGGGCAGCTCATCCCCAGCTTTTTTCACTCTGATCTTCCTTCTTCAGCTTCCCCATTGCGTCCCTCTGCATGCTGGACATGCTGCTTCTTTTATACACTTCAGGGGCTCTGCCCCCAAAGTTCTCCAGACCTGGCAGGGCGCAGTCTTGAACCAGGTCTGGACTACTCCTTGCCCCCCTCGCTTTGGGGAAAGGGGTGGCCTTGCTTACCCTGGCTTGCTTCTCATTAGTGGCTGGGCTCCACCAATTGAAATTGCAGAATCTTGAACTCAGGACTCATCCAGAGCTCAAAAGGTAAGTCTGCTACACAGTCAATGGAATCTTTCACTTTCCAGAAGACAGTCAGGATCTATTTAAAGAATAACTAAATATGGTTAGGGCATGTGACTAAAGAGACTTTGGTTTCTTGCCATATGACTAAAGAGACTTCAGCTTTATAGGTACTTGTACCAAGGATGTCCAAAGAGTTGGAGAGTAGAGACAAATGAGAATAGTCTGAAGGGGAATGGATTTTTACAAAAATGCTACTTGGCAAGACCTCGGGATATACATAAAATAGTTGTTACCAACTGTTCCTGATTTAAAGCCAGGAACAGCAAACTGCATTTTAAAATCAAGACATTGTTTCCTCTTAAAACATATTTACTTTCATTTTTACAACTGTGGACAAATCAGCACCAGTTTGTGTTTTCATTAACAGCACAAAGGGAAACATTTAATGATTACACTATATATTAATGACTTTTAGAAACTACTGTATATGTTAACACAAAGCAGGGTCCTAATGTATGTCCAGATGCAGCACATATATAATGCTGAACGAGGGGGTAATGACTTATTCTTCAGGTTATTACATTTATCTTGACCTTGATTTCTCCATTGCTAGATTGGCAGGGCCTGGGTGTTTGCCACTGAACTGATTTTTGAACAGCAGAAGCTTCTATGAAAGCCACTCCTGAAGCCTGATTAATATTGCCTTTGGGACAGTTCCAGAGAGACATTTGTCTTGTTCTTGAAGGTGAAGGATGCTTCTGACAGAGACCTGGCAGGAAACTGACATGATGGTCTTGTTTGTTAATGTGGTAGGGAAAAAGAAGAGTCAGATATTGGACTCCCATGAAGAGCAATCAGTGAAAACCCAGCAGTTTTCTGTATTGTGGATTATGAGCAACCTGTTTGGGGATGACTTGGGGGAAGATTAAGGACTTGGGGTATATTATGTTGCAGTCAGAGTAGAGAGTGCAGTTTGGCATATGACTTATAACAGTCTAGCTATCTCAGCATGGGGTTCAGCCTGGGCTAAGAAGCAGGGTAAATTAGCCCACTCTGGGTGCATCTACATGTGCTATTAGCACAGAATAATAAACTCCAGCACATATTGTGCACCCGAGACCACAGCACATTGAGCTGAGTTGGAGCGGCCCCAGCTGGCAGGAGATCCATGGGGGTTAGATTGCCAGCCCTGGGCTGCTCCACCCTGGCACAATGTTCTGTGGAGGGGCTGGCTCGGGGCACAAGCATGCTTCAGTGCAGGGTTAGCTGTCATGCACCCCCGCACTGAAGCACCCTTGTGCCCCAGCCAGCCCTGTCAGCATCTGCACATGCATTGCTGTGTACTAAAGAATGCCACCATAGGATAGTACTTCTGCTTACAAGTACTAACCTGCAGCAGAGTTAATTTTCCTATGGCCTGATAGGGTTGCATGTGTAGATGCTGAGACTTTACTGTGGAGCTAATTAGGCAGGTCCGCAGTAAACATCTTGTGTAGATGCACCCACTGAGCTCTATGCTGCTGCAGCTAGATTGTTCCTGGTAGCCCAGTTAAATTTGTTTAAAGCTGGTTTTGGTATATCTATACTGCACTGCAACCACTGCAACATAGATACTGGAGAAGGCAGGAGAGAAAAGATCTAACATGCTTGTAATACCTCATGGAGAATGGAGGAGATGGGAGAAGACTAGAATGTTCAAAAAGGGTTAAGAAGTCTGGAGAAAGCCTGGAGGGAACTGGAGAATTTGGAACTGAGTTTAGCTTCTTTTAGCTCTTTTTCTATTCTTAGTGGGTGTATTAATGTGCCTTTTCTAATGTGCATTAACACTAATACCTCCAATGTGAGCTACTAAATGAGTATTAGATTGTGGTAATGCACAGTAGCATAGCTGCATGCTTTTTTAGTGATGCATAATGCAAAGTAGACTATTTTACTGCACATTAGTGTAACGTCACAGGTTTTTACATGATGCTTTTAATGCACAGTAAAATTGTCTACTTTGCATTAAAACGCACATGTACATGTGCCCACAGATAGTGAAAACTGATTTCCAGTGAATTTAGATTACTTCCTATGAAAGAGAGCGGTTATCTAATTTAGTACATGAACCATAAATATCCATACCTTGAGACTGTTGGGATTTGTTCTTATATTATAATAAACTTGTTAATCTAATAGACCATTTTGAAAATATTAAATTGCCTCTTGCATATTGCAAAGATTTCAAAGCCTTAGTAAATATAATCAAACTTCTGGTCTTGAAGAATAAATACTAACAACCTCTGGAAGGGAAGTCTGTATTATGTGTAAAACTTTTATTTGCTTCTTGTCTGCAGTTGTATCTAAATTAGAAATGTCATTGTGGATGTTCATATTTTCAGTAAGAGATACTATAATATAAATCGCACCTATGATCAAACGATGGGTCCCATCTATGGGATAAAAAGATGTATTTATGTGAAGATTTAGATCCCTCATATGATATTTAACATTAAAAAAACTGAAATTCAAGCCACTTCTAATCACTACTGTCAGGCTTGTTTCAGACCGGTGACCTAGAGGTAAAAGATTCTATATCCTATTACTAGTCCCCATATCACCACAAGATAGTTCCATACATGTGCAGTGGGGCTGTGTGAAGCTTTGGTCACTGATTCGATTCGGTGGAGATTCAGCCCAATTTGGAGACCGAATCTCCGAATCCGAACTGAATCACGCAACCCTTTAATCTCTCCAAATCAAATTTGAACCCTCCGAATCGATTCAGAAATATTCAACGATTCAGACACATATAGAAAAAACATTTAAAGCTTTGTTTACCTCAAGGTTACCAGGTGGTTTGTGAATGCTGAGATGTTGGGGCAGCTAGAGAGTCCCACGGGAGCACAGGGAGGGTCCCCAGCATGCTCAGCAGCAGACCTGTAACTGAACCAGAAGCACTTCTGGTCCACTTCTGGGTCTGCCGGTGAGCATGTTGGGACCCTCCTCATACCCTCCCCTTGCTTGGCGACTGGTGTCTCTTGGGGGGCACCTGGGGTTCCCCTGTGGATGGTCACTGAGCCAGGAGGTGGGCCTGCACGCTCGGCGGTGGATCTAGAAGTGGACTGGAAGTACTTCCGGTCCACTTCTGGGTTCATCACTGAGCACTTGGGGGGCTCCCCCACACTCCTGTGGGACGCTCCATCTACCCCACCATCTCAGCGTTCACAAGCCACCTGGTACCTCAAGGTCTGTAGAAAAAACATTTAAAGCTGTGTCTATGGCCAAATCACTGATTCTCCAAATCAGCATTGAATCTTCAGATTAGGATTCAGCTAAATCGAATCGGGAAAGTGATCCACTTCAATTAACTGAATCACTGTCGCCGAGTCGGGCCGAATCTGAATCAAATACAGCCTATTTTGCAGACCCCTAATGTGTAGATATTCATCTTTTCTGCTAATAACCGACCCCAAATGACAGATTGCAGAATAGTTTTACAACAAATGTACTGCAATAAAACCTTATCTTAAAACAGGTTTTTTCAATTATTGTCTTTCAATTTAATCTCTGACGTGTCAGCAGCAACTGCTGTCATAAAATAAATACTCACAAACATTCCAGTAATAGGGAACAAGTTCTGAAACCTGCAGAATTCCTTACCAAAATACCAGACATTGTGGCTAGCATAAATGAAACTGAAAACTGTATTGAAAGCAGCCACGAGAAGATCAGAAAAAGCCCGATTAACAATAAAATAAATGGTAAGTCATTTGTTTGTGGGCTTGAATAATCCAGATGACAGTGACATTGCCAATAATTGATGCAATAAATATAAAAGAATATGTGATGGCCCAAAGAGCTATTTGCCAGCCTGGCTAGGTAAACTGGATTCCTGTGGTCCAGTTGCCATCATCCTCAAGAAAGCCAGCCACTGAAATATTATTGTTTAAAAAGGAAGTCATGTGCATTTCTCTTTTCATTTTATCATAGAAAACCAGTTTGGCATCTGATGATTTTTCTTTCAACAGACATTGGTATTATCAATCCTCTATTTACGTATAAACTGTAATTAAAAAAAAAGGGGGGAATTAAATGCTGTCTTGGTTTTCAAGTGGTGTAATGTAGTTCCAAGAGAAGATGTTCTACATGAAGTGCCTCTTTAGCCCAGCTTCTTGACTTATATATTGGAGGGAAAAAATGTAAGTTAATTCGTTTTAGCCCTTTTTTAATAACTCCAGATCTGTGAAATTCTTCCTTTAGATTTTCAGGTATGAAAAAGAGTAAATATCATGTCATCAGCATTTTTAATCCAAATGAAATCCTTCTGGATTTGAAAAGAGAATCCTGGATATTACAAAGTGATAGAAATAAGAAGTCTCTGCAGTAGGACTAATGGTATTTTGTCATCTCTGCCTGAATAACTGTTAAATGTAAGCCAGCAGCCTAACTGGTATAAATTTCCCACATGGGCTTAAAGTGCCTTTGAAAGGAGGTGGAGTCTGTTGTACATAAAAGATAAGCAAGTAATTTGATGTTAAGGGAAATTTCGTAAGGTGGTGTTTAAATTTTTTTTTTTAGTTCCTGAACTTACCTGAGATAAATCTATTGCTGTGAGGATTTACATCCTAAAATGCAGAACGTAGCTGATTTCACTGAGTTTATTAATCATTCGGCCATGGGCTTCCAAAACTCATACTGACTTCACTAGATATTTCATTGAGTAAAGAATACAGAAATGGGCCTGCAGAATGCCCCTGTTAAAAATGGAAACAAACTAAGTAAAAACATATGAAAGATGACATACAAAAGATCCACTTTACAGCAAAAGAGAAACTTATTACTTCAGGGAATTAATTCAACACAGTTTTAGAAAGGCAGTCTATCTGTGTACTCTGCCACAATTTGTGGGGGTTGACAGCATTTGAATTAAAATACTCTATTTTATTCCTATTGAAAGCCTAACATGGAGCTATGATACTTTTAACTTGTAGCAGTTTCTAAAAAACTACTTTGGGATTATTTATTCTTTAACATTACTGAGACAATATAGTTCTTGATTCTGGGGCACCTGTGAGCACTGCAAAAAATGTGCTGTTATCTTAGCAATGTTGAAGAAATGTAGGACCAGATCCAAAAGAAGTGTTATGCACCTAAAGTGGGAGTTGGGCAGTCACTCAGAAATAAGTTTAATAATGTGATCCTGAATATCCCCACTAGGTTCTTGTCTAACACTGGAGGTGCCTACATTCCTTATATAAGTGCCTCTGTTCTTGACCTTGAAGTTCCCAGGACATCTGAAGTTCTGCTTCCATGCATGCTCAAACAAACTACCTAACGTAAGAGTTAGCTTGATGTCAGTCTTATACTTACACTGTACTGAGCTCTATAAACTATGCATTCCTTTGTCCAGATCCCCAAATGGGCTTGATCTGGTGTTCGGAGAGCATGCCTAATGCATGCCTACAGGATTGGGCTCCATATAAAAAGCAGTGGTAGTTACCACTTCCTTTAAAACATGGTCAGAGGAAGCACAAAACCAGTGAGGTGCCTGATTTCTTGGTGTCCATTTTGTATAATCCTGACTTCCAGTCCTTTTTCCATGGATTATCATTTAATCCAATGATTACTTGATATAAAACATAGAAACCAAAGGCACAACGTGTATAAATAGTGCTCACCACTGGCCAATCTATGCTGTTCCTGAAGTCAGTGATTCATCAGATACTAGAAACTGTTGTCTTTCCTGATTTTTCACAAGATAACTGCTCACTTGGATAAATGACTGTCATCTGGATTATTTGAGCTCACAAAGAAAAGGCTTATGTTAAGCATAGCTAGGGTTTGCAGAGTATAAGAGATTCTAGTAAAATAATGTGTATTTGTGAATATTTCAAAGCTGAAACTAAATCCTTATGGACTACTTAGAACTCCAGTAAGGAGGGTGTGTCTTTTCAACCCAGCAAGAAAAGGTTCCTTTTAAACTATCCCACCCACATATATGTTCCATTATACATATTTTTAATCTGATTGCAACCAGCCTTTTGTCAACACTTCCTCCCACTAAGCTCCTAATATGCTTACTCTTATTAGTACACGCCCACACATTGTTAGCTTTCTATTATTTGTGTATGGTGGAGGTTATCATATCAGTGTTCTGTCAGTTAAAAAGGTAACTTTATATGGGCTGTATCCTCATGGTTTATCTACAGAGAAGTGTTATGATTTCTACAAAACTTCCCTCCAAATTCTTCACAGAAATCTAAACCTCTTAGTCTATTGTGATACCCTCCCAGAACTGAAAGCTTAATATAAAATGGGGATAGTGATATTTGCCGTCTTGTCAACTGTTTTGCGATGTATTAAAGAAGAGTGCTGGAAGATCTGGGTATTTATTTATTACAAGCCTGGTTAAATGTTGAACAGTGTTACAATAAGCCACTCACTCTAAGGATTGTGATAACAAGCCTAGGAAGGTTAGTCATCTGAAATACGGGAAAAATAAAATCTGAGTGCTGTGTTTGCTATTCTGGAAAAATAATGCAACGCATTCTTTGAAGTACAGCCTAATCCTGTTGTACATGGACTGAACTCATGTTGCCTTCAAAGAGAATGTGTAAAAACCGACCCAAACCCACAATATCAATGATACTAGAACTTGCAGCATCTATCAGTACAGCCAGCTCCTGTGCTATTTGACAGGGATTGACCACGTTGCAATAAACTGTTTCTGCTCTTAATGACAGATCCCAAAGGATGTAATTGGTGGAGAGCCCTCCTCACCCCCTTAGCTAACCAGGATGCAGGTCCAGGCCCCTCACTCCCAAGCCACAGTCCCTGGTCCTGCTGGTGCTCCTCACTCCCTACCCAACAGTCCTAGCCCCAGCACTGCCCAACTCCCTCCCTCCCTCTCTGGGGGGTCTCAACCGCCACTTCCCCCACAACAGATTTACCTGCAGAAGCTGCTCTCCAGGCTGCCTGGTGACCATGTCTGTGCATACATGTGCACAGACCACCCCTCTTCCATTTCCCCCTGCTGACCACCCCTCTTCCACTCCCCCCAGCCCGTTTCAGGCTGGAACTCTGCCAGCCTTCATAGAGCTCTTTGCAAAAGTGCAAAATCTGCATGTTTCTCTTTTCAAATGAAAAATCTGCATTTTTCTCTGTTAAAAGGGAAACAACCCCTCTACGCGACGCTGGTCAGGCCACAGCTGGAGTATTGTGTCCAGTTCTGTGCGCCCCATTTCAAGAGGGATGTGGACAACATGGAGAGGGTCCAGAGGAGGGCCACCTGCATGATCCGGGGACAACAGGGCAGACCCTACAGTGAGAGACTGCGGGACCTGAACCTATTCAGCCTCCACAAGAGAAGGCTGAGGGGGGACCTGGTGACCGTCTATAAACTCACTAGGGGGGACCAGAAGGGTTTGGGGGAGACGCTGTTTCCCCTAGCGCCCGCTGGCATAACAAGGAGTAATGGGCACAAGTTGATGGAGAGGAGGTATAGATTGGACATCCGCAAAAACTACTTCACAGTTAGGGCGGCTAGGAGCTGGAACCAACTTCCAAGGGAAGTGGTGCTGGCCCCTACCCTGGGGGTCTTTAAGAAGAGGCTGGATGCCTACCTGGCTGGACTCATTTGAGTCCCGTTTCTTGTTTTGGGGTTTTGTTGTTCTCCCGCCCTGGCGGGGGGTCGGGCTAGAAGATCTACTAGGTCCCTTCCGACCCTAAATCTATGAAACCATGAAACGACATTTTTTTCTATTTCCCCCATGGGAATTGGAAAACCTTGATCTCTGTTTATTAAGACTGTACATATATGCTTAACATTATGCAGTGAGTAGTTCCACTGAAGCTCATTTCTTAGGCTCATAAGATTTTAAATATGTGAGTCCAAATTTTCAGCTGGTCTCAAATCACCTCACAATTCTAAAACCACAAAAATACAGCAAGGATATTTGTTCATAAAATTGGATGTGTATCTGTTTTTGTCTATACAGGTTTCAGGTAAAAACAGTAATGCATATATGTGTGCTTGTGTCTGTGGTGGGAAACATTAGAGGGCATAACTGAAAACTAGGATTTAGGCATTTGTGTTTGATATTGTCCAAAAGTAGCTAGTTGTCAACATAGCAATATAACTATATCTATACCTATATGCTAAGCTTATGTAGCAAACCCAGCTACATTATGAACCACTGCTATTGCCTTGTGTTATTCCATTGCAGAGTACGCATGTCCAATATGGGCACCATAGCCAGTGGAAGGTGGGGGTGCTACTGGGCCTTAGCCTCCACAAACACCAGGGCAGCCCAGCTGCAGGCTGCTGCAGCGGTGGGGGAGAAGGGGTGCGCACACACAGATACCCTGTGCGGCCAGGATCGCAGCCGGCCCAGCAGGCAGGTAAGTGGTTTTTCAATCTACTTTCTTTATTACTGACTGGACTTGGGAGGGGTGGGGGGCAGATCGACACCTCCACAGTGCAGGAGGGAGTGGGGCAGAGGCAGGAGTGAATCATTCACCCCTGCCCCTGCCCCTGCCCTATTCTCTCCTGCACTGTGGGGATTGTCCCACAATCCGGCCTAGCCAGGGCCCCATTCACCATGAATAGGGCCCTGGCCAGGCCAGGTCGTGGGACAACTGGAGCTTGGTGGCTTGTCCAGAGGTGCAGCACGGGGAGGCCAAGGAAGGGGTCACATGGCCCCCAGATGTGTGCATGGGGTAAGGGCATGCTGCAGCTGTGGAATGGGCTCTGCTCCCTGCCTCCGCGCCTTGCTGCTCCTGCTTCAAAAGTGGTGCGGCGCAGTGCAGTGCCACGTGCGTCCCGCCACTGGGCAGGCCGAGCAGTTGGATGGGTCATACCCAGTGCCACCACTGCCTGCCCCGAGCACAAAATGGTCCCTCCTGCACTGGGAACAGCCCAGTGTTACCCTGGCCCTAGCCTACAGTGGCAGCCTGCCCTGCC